GCTCTTGATACAAATTTCTGCACACCAAAATTTGTTAATGTCCTATTGGTCATCTTATATTCCAGTGGTCTGAGTGTACATTCATTTTAGAGCCAAAATTCAGTGTTCAGTTAGTAGATTTGCTGTGTTCAAACACTGTAAACAGTCATCTTGGAGTTAGAAGATATATAGAATTTTATAGTGTAGAGTCTTTATTAATTATTGATTAACACTTTTTGTCAGAACGGTTATTAATCTTTTATTTTTGGGACTTGTGAAAAATCCAAAAGTGCACAAACTGTATCCTTCTATAAAACTAGTACAAGGGCCTAATGCCCAACTTCTTTTACCAAAATAAAACGTGTGGGTAATTCTGTGATTTTCTGAGCAGTAATTATTAACAAATGGTGATAAATATTTAAGCCATGCTTCTTAATAATTTATCTTTTCAATGTAAAATCCTTTGGAGATTAACTAGTAATGACAAGTGATAAATATTTGTATGTTGTGAAGTCATTACCACATTATCATTGTGTGATAATCTCTCAAAAAATATCAAGAATTATTTCATCTATCAAATATCCAACCACTGTTTCATTATGGCCCAGTGTGGCTGTCTGTGTTGTAGTACTAAGCTTACTTCAGCTTCGTGACAGAATGTTTTAAATAGAATTCAAAAAAAGAAAATACAACGAATTTTTGAGCGTTTCTTGAAAATTCACACACCAGAATTTACTTAAAGTTCGTAAGGCTCATATTACTTTGCTGGAACTTGCCTGCTGTTTATTATTGAGACTTGCTTTTGACTGAAGTGCCAGGATCTCTGGATTCACCTGTTGGTAACAACACAAATTGTTGCCTCCAAATACACTTTTGGGGGGCGAATCTGAATTCATTTTTCAATACTGTGCTGTCATACAGAATGTGTGCAGCTCGCTCTTTAAACTGGGCTTTGTCCCAGTACTAACAGCATTTGGGAGTAGTGCTTTAGGTAATGAAAGTCACGTAGGATTCAATGTATTAAGTCTTAATTAAATGTTTTAAAATAAAACCAGTGATGGGATTGTATTAGCAGAATGTAAAGATGAAGCAGTTAAATATAGCCCTCTACCAAAATATAGGCCTAATGTCTCTGAAAGGAGATGTGGTCACAAAATACCTTATTTTCAATGTAAGTCAGTCAGTATTAAAGTTATGTTAATGTATTGATCAGAATACAAATGCAAATATATGCAAAAAGCCTATGTAATTCAAGAGCTTAATGTATTTATATATGCTAGTATTTAGTATTTAGTATTAAATACATATGCATTTATGTATCTGTATATGCTAGTTGGATCTCATTGCAGATCTTTAACATGAGGCTCTTATTTTCCTTTTAAATTTTGAGATTGTTTAAATGTACTATATAGAAAAGTCGAAGCTGTTCTAAGAAAAATTTCCATTCTTTGACTTTTTTTTACTTATGCAGTGCAAGGACTGAGAATTTAAATATTTTTTATTACCCAAATTTTGCGTGGTTTTTAATTTTTTTAGAAATGGAATGAGAGGATTTATCTTTGGGTGGTGGAAAAATTTTGACAGGAAATCAGAGAAGAACTAGAAATTAGAGCAGAGTAGAAAAGACAGATTTTTTTCCTAATACGGAATCCAGATGAACCAAGATTGACTTGATTAATAGTAGTAATGATAAAATTGTGGTACATTAAGAACTCAATCCAGTAGAAACACACAATATTAATTTCAGGATGTAAGTTTGAGCACACAGGCTATCCGTGTATTTGTGGTGGTAGAACACTGTGCTTTATACTCAAACACAGAAGATGAGACATTTTGAACTGCTTTAGTTGTAAATAAGTATTTTTAGACACGCACAGATAATTACTCAAAGCTATGTACATTCTGAAAATGAATTAGTAGGACAAAGCAATCATTTTCCATAATTGCCCTTCCCAAAAGCTGGTTAAATGTGTGTATAGTTCCCATGTACATATGCATATCATTTTCTTGACATGTTTTGAAAGTAGACTTCGGTTGAGCCCAAATATTGCAAGTTTGCACTTAAAAAGAAAACGTCTGTCTAAAACAGTAGCACAAAGTAGGATATAGAATGGATGCCCAGCCCAGCCTGCACAACAGGGTTGCTACCATGTTGTTAGAATAATTATATTTTGGCTGAACTAACTAATTTAGAAAAACTGCAGTACATCTAGCAAGACTGAAAACTTTCCAAGATTGGGATGGTTTGTTTGGTTTTTTTTTCATTTTTTAGTATAATTTAAAACAATACCTCTTCTAGCTGCCAACAAACTCTTTCCCTGAATCTCACCATTCCTGGCTTCCCTCCTAACCATGTCCTGGCTCACCTCCAGAGCTGCCAAGTTTATGCCAGAAGCAGGAGGTAGATTTGTATGGGGCTGGAGGAAGATCTGGAGCTCTGTTAAATTTTCAAGCCCAGATGGGGCAACATGATTTGTGTGTTTATGTCAGTATGCCATACATCACAACTATCTGTGTGCTGACGTCAGCTTTGATTGGACATTAATGTGCTGAACGCTGCAAACTAGAAAATACATGATAGATACAGATCTATGGCAACAATGCCACATAAGCAAATGTCTCTTTGGTGTGGCGATTCACTGTGCAAAATATTTCCCAAGATACACTGCATTAAGCCAGGGGAATATTTTGACACACTTTAAAAACAAAAACAAAATCAACATGGGCAAAGGGAGCACAATTTAAGAAAGCAAACCCTTTCAGAGGAAGAACTGAAACCAACATACTGAAGTATGTATTGTCAGGCAAATATTGAACTGCTGTCCCTCACTTTAACCTTTCCAGAATTAAAACCAAATAGGAAAGATGATATTCTTATGATTTGCAGGACTATCAGTGGTGAGGGTACGTTGCTGATGGTCGAGCATCTTTCTGTCCACGGTTTTCGTAACCCATTGTTATCAAAACCAGCAAGCAGAAACTTTAATGTACAGCAAAACAAGAATGGACAGCAAATGTTTTTTTCAAATGATGGAACATTTTTTCTTTATGAAGAGTTTAGCTTAGTTTCCAGGAGTCATCCGTGTTTATTTATTTTTTAACAGTTTTGCCTTTCTTGATATACAAATAATATCCTGCAGCCTTCTGAAGAACTGGCAAAATACGGTAATTTCTGGTCTGTGGATTTATAGAAGTCACTGACTACTTCAGATTTATATCTGTACCATCTTTATGTGATTCCCCTTTAGAATAAATGTGACCACAAGTTTCCATTAAAATATAGTACATTGTCTCTCTCTTCCAAGAAGAGGAAACAGTTTGCAAGTCAGCTTTAATATTTCAGGGGCGGATATAGTAACAAAGTCTAGGGATTGATGTGTAGGCAGTGTTCTTTTACCTCAGATCACTTCTGTTATTCCTCAGAAAGGAAATTCTGTAGTATAAAACTACTTTATTGTTATTCATCATCAGACTTTGTGGGTAAAATGGAAGTTCCCTGATTCCACGGGGATAGACGGTTTTGGCCTGTGCGCAAGTAGCGGCTTTGAAAAGAGACCCCTCCCCAGGATTTGATGCCATCTGGCCCATAAGGTGGGGAAGGGAGGGGGTGTAAAGGTGCCATGGGATCAGTGGAATTGGGCCTTGTAACCTGAGCAGATTGGGTTGTGCAGGACGGGGCCACAACTTCACGCAGTGGTCAGAAAATAGAATTCAATTTATTCTTTGATGAGAGCGGGAAATTTTCACCTTTCACGTCTGCTTTGTGAGCTTTAGTGTGGCTGGAAGATAAAGGGGTATTGAAATGTGGGTTCAGAAAGCAGTTGGTGTATTGATCACCATTTTAATAAACCTGAATGTCAGTGCAATGCATAGACTATTCTGACATATCTGGGGATATTTCCCTCTCTCTGCTCCTAATTGATAAATTGTTACTATCAAATAATTTTACCAGTAGTTACATTGACATTTCGGAATAAGCATCAGTTGTATAATTTACAAAAGAACTGTAAAATGTACAAAATACTTTAAATTAATAGAAAAATACAAAACTATGACTTGGAGGTACAGAGCTAATTCCTCATACTTGGAATGGGTATTTTGAGGTGATTGGTCTTGATACCCCTGAAGGTATGATGAGTATAGCACCTCCAGCCACCAAGAACAAGAGTATACCAGCTGTCCAGGCAGCTTTGGGATAACTGCTTCTTATCTTTAAGAAATATTTTGGGTTTTAGCATAGGTTTGTTTCTTCTTTCTTTTCTCATTAAATAGGGACATCATCAGAGCATTTAAGAACATTTTTTCTGACTTACCTCTGAAGATCTCTGTTGTGACCTTTGAATGTCTTTGTCTGATGTATGAAATTAAGGAAAGAAAACTATACAGAAAACAGCTTATTTAAAGCACGTGACAGTAAGTTGTTGCACAAGAAATAAGGCATCACAAATCACAAATATATTGAGAAATGGTAACGCTGCACGAAGAGACAGATTTGTAAAGATAAAGAGGAACTTTTAGAAAGAAAAATGCTGGAGAAATTGCTTGAGTTGTCCATGTTGTTTGACTGATGACCAAAATGAATAATTGTGTGGATTGTGCATGCTCCAAATGCTAGAAATTATATGCCTAAGTGTATTAAAAAGCAAGGTTTTCAGAACAGAAGCAAAAACTGGGCATCTGACTCATAGTGGAAGTCAATGAGAGTCAATAAGCTTAACATATTGCTTTTTAAGTATCACTGATGTGAGCAAATGCTTCTCTTATGAAGGTTTAAGAAAATACAAATGTAGTGCTAAGTTAGCCCTTTTATGGTTTCTTCTTGTCAAATACATGTTTTCTTTAATCAGAAATTTCAAGTCTTTTTTTTTTTTTAAGGAATAAAGCCCTCTAACATAATTCCTAAGTATTGATGACCTATTTTTCCCCCACAGCTTGCCATTGAGAAGACCAAGGCTTACTCTGTGAACATTAATTACCTTTTTCATCACATAGGATGCGTATTTTGTTTCCGTGTCTTACAGAATAAAGCAATTATGGAACGTGTAACAAACTTGTCAGATATGGTAGTTGGTCTTGAATCATTTATTGGCTCTGAGAGAGAAACCAATCCATTGTACAAGGATTACCACGGTAAGTTCCATCTTTAGCAATGCAAAAAGTCTGCCCTGGGTGTTTCTAGGGCACTTAGTGGCTTACCCTCCAATTGGGTATCTGCCATAAAGCAGCATTTGGTTTCGTTTTAGAATATACCTCTTAAATGCTCCTCCTTGCCTAACCAGTCTGGAGTTAGGAGAATTTTCAGCAAAGTGCATTAAGGCTGCAAAGGAAACATGGCAACTCCTTGCATGTTGTCAAGCCGTATTACTGAGGCATGGCTCAATCAGATGTACATCTCAACAGGCAGGCTTTGGGGAATTCACAGGCAGAGGAGGCTTGGCAATCATCTGACCAGCGAGCTGAACTTGTCATGAAATCAATACTTTTGATCTGCCAAGTTTTAAACAGAGAACACGGAAAAAAAACATATATTATAGTAAGGCGAATAAACTGCTAAATTGTGTGCTATATAAGCTATATCTAAAAATAACCTTCTGGTTTTTCAGCGATAAAGTTACAGCACTCGTGCATTTAAAGAAATTAATATGTGTGGCATGTAAAATATGAAACTGGTTTTTGGTAAAAAGCCGTGTAGCCTTTCAGGTGCTTTATCTTCAAAATGTTGTAATGGTGTTTAATCTTGCATTCTGTTTCCCAGAGATTTTTGTTAGCTGTTGCAGCAGAACTGTTTATATTTTAAAAGATTCTATTAGAAGTTATGCAGAGCCAAAGCGGTGAATAACAGTTTTAGCTAATCCAGAGCACTGCTCAGAGTGTGCATAAATTACAGCTATTATCATTGTGATACTACTGTAGTTCCATGGAAACCTTTAGCTGAAAGTAAACTGCTTATCCAAAACCTGCTGTAAACATGTGAGAGTTATGGCAGTGTTTTCCATAGCAGAATATATAGAATATACAGAAAAAGAAGCAAAGGTGGTGTTGAGACACCACTGTGTGTATGCAGGCTGTAATTAGTAAATCAGAGAAAAATCTTTCTGGCTGTGAAAATAAGTGCACATTTCATTCTCTGAAAAAAGGTGAATGAAAAAGAAACCGTGAACAAAAGCTGGAATAATTTGCCTAATTATTTTTCCAACTGTATAATCGTGATATGGCCTTTGTTTATGCTAGCATAATTCTGTCAATTTGATACTCCTTTTCCCAGTACTGAAGAGATCCTTTGAGACAATGTGTGTTTTAGCAGTTATTTCCTGCTTTCCTATAAAGATGTATGCTAAATCATTTTTGGTACTATTTAATAAAAATTATGTGCCAATATACATAGCTTTTGAGGCTTACACAATCTTAATTTGAAAGCCTAAAAAAAGGTATTTCTAGTGGTTTTAACTTTGTGGATTCTTTTTGCTTGAGAATATGTTTTAAGATGATTTATTTACTGCAGATGATGAAAGATTTTGACATGACTCAGGAGAAGTTTGATTACATTATTGCATTATTTAATAAATCCTGCATTCATAATTTTATTAAGCTGCCTGGAAATTTAAATGTTTGAAAAGCCAGTAAAATAACAAAATAATTATATAGAAGATCCTTAAATAAAATTTCTACAATACTGCATATAGGCAACCCTGTGTTATACCTGCTGTTCCCATATATAATCATTAGATTTTCTACTCAAAAGCCTAACAAATATTTCTTCTGAATCACTGGACTGGAGGCAGGGATGGAAGGTTTCAAATTATAAAAATGCTTTTCTAATATTATTAAGACTTTTTGCGATTAGTGCCCATAAAATTATGCTTTTTAAATTATTTCAATTTTAGGAAACTTCGGTTAAAACAAATTAATCGATGCCTGAAAACATATTTGATTTATTTTAAATAAGGGTTTTAATGTTTGGGGATTTTCCCACAGCTGCCGTTTTCAAGTAAGATGCCTCTTCTAAATATTCAGTATTTCAATTTAGATGCTGGCTTTATGAATAGCAAATATAGGCCAGTAATTGAGAAGCCCTGTAGAATTTTCCTGGTTTTTCAGATGTAGAAACTCACCCTCAGGTTGTTCAGAGACTATATTAGGCTGCACAAAAACCATCCAGCGTCCTTGTCAGAAAAAATCAGCTTGAGTTGCAGCTGACAGAATGCAGAGCTTGCAGTGCACCTAGTACTGTTAAAAACATCTGAACAGCTAGAGAAGCCTCCTGCAGGAAGAAAACATATTTCTCCTAGGATGGCAGAGGGGTTAAAATTTATTAAAAAGCGTGATCTAAATCGGGGAGGGGGGGGGGGGAGGGTTCCAGAAACTTTTTTTCCCAGCCGTTTCCAGGGCAAAAAACGAAGTAGTTCTCATTAGAGCTTCAGTGGTTATCAGTAACCCATAAGCCTTGTTTTGCTGGCTGCTTACTGGTGCATTTAATAAAATAAAGATCACTCAGTGGTGCCGTGGGCAGCGTGCAAGGTGATAGCCATATTTGCTTACTGTAAATACACGAGAAAATCACACACAAACGGGCTGTAGTTTTGACAAGTATTAAGATCGCTCTTTACATCTGTACTTCTGTACCAAAGTGCAATTAGTTTTCCTCGCACAAGGATTTCTGTTTATCTTATTCTGCTTGATTACTTGAGTATAATCGCACCGTTTGCTTCATTGCTCCTGGTGGTAAAGCTCCAGCTTAAAAAGGGGAGGATGAGTGTGTGTAAATATACAGAATTCTGCTGTAAGACTCTAATTTATGCATCTGGATGACAGCGTTTTCTTAATTTATTTTTTTTTCCCCCCCTCCTTTACTCTTTCTTTCCACAAGGTTTGGTTCATGTACATCAGATTCCTCGGCTTAATAGCTTGATCTGTGATGTGTCAGACACGAAGGACCTGGCTTTTAGATTAAAAAGGAAGCTGTTCACCATTGAGGTAAGAGAAACATTGTTTCACTATTTAGAACCCAAAAGGTGGAGCTAATCCCGTCTCTTATGTTTCGTTTTGTGAAATGCATAAAATATGCATCAGACGTTGTAAATTCATTTCATTCCGGTTTTGCTGTTCAGAAGGGTTTTATGAAATACTGTGATATGCCTTCTGATTAAAAATGTCTCATTTGCTGCACTAAATCGGTCTGTTATAAATAGTTTATTTTGGTTTAAAATGTACATAGAAAGTAGGCCACAACCTTCAATAACAAAGCGTGACATGTTTCTAAGGATGTCAGGAGCATATTTAATTAAATGTTAATGACTTGCTCTTACTTGTGTTGGTGGGTGGGAAAGTAGCTACATGTTATTACCCCAGTAGAGGGATTTTAATGTATAATGTTGCCTAAAATTGTGTGTGGTATGAGGGATAAGTGTCCTTATCAGTATTCAGAAACCATTTTCTTTGCATTACTGAAATCACCTTTCGCTCTTTTATGTCATTTTAAACACAGTATCATTTACACTAATGTCCTTAAGTAAATTTCCTACTAAATTTAAACTTTTTTCTGTGACCTTTATGCAGACAGTCCTGATAGAAGGCAGTAATACAAAAGATGTATTTCATTTTAATCTTGCTAAAGAGCAAATGAACATAGCACTATTAAGCAATTAGAGCTGATGTATTTATTAACCCAGTAATGCTTAGAGATGGAAGATGGCTTTTGGGGTGATGTGATAGTCATTGGTACAGTCTGGGCAAATTTTTTTTTAACAAAGACATAAAACAGCCAAGCATCCCTGACAAACCATTTTGTTTAATCTCTTTTCAAATGAAAAGCTCTTAAGCAGGCCACTTGTCTTAACTGCTTGAAACCATAAAAAGAGAGAATTGCCACCAATAAATTAGCATATTTTTTACTCCATCACCAAATGCTGGTCAATGTGGCTTGGCACTGCTTTGGTGTTTGGGACTTCACCCTTAAGTGACCACTTTGGCCCTTATTTGACCCTCTGCCCTTTTTAGCTGGCCACTTGATAAGGTAACTTAAGGGTTCTCTCTCTTCACTGCCCCCTTCCCTTCACAATTGCAAGTAGCCCTAACCTATAAATCATTGAAAGGGCCCTATCAAGTGACAAATTAAGGTGCCCTCCTCCTAATTAATGGTCATCAATGTCTTTAATTATCTAATCCTATTGAGAGTAGTTAATAGTTAATCAGGCAGCCAGTTCTTCAGGCAGGTCATCTCTGCATGAGTGCTAGAAGTTTCTCAACTAGAGGTATCCTCTTCAGAAGCCACTTAAAGGCAAATACATGAAGGAGGGCTTTTTTTCCCCAAGACAATTCCTTTATAATGTTTGTCACTTTCCAGAGAATGTGGTTAGTGAAACCAGGCTTTGTGAGGTATTAAAGCCTTTTAACAGCTGCTTTTGAGCGGTACAGTAGGAACAAAACCCTTAATAGTCTGTGTTTGGTTTTAAAATACAAATGTTCTTACTGTTTTCAGAAGTGCAGAGAAGCGTGCACCCTCATTTCACAGCGTAGTAAATTCTCATTTATTATAGCTACGAATTAGGATATTTGGGGTTTTTTTTCTCACTACGAATCCTAACTCAGAGTACAATTTTTTCCGTCGGACGAATTCGAGATTCTAATTTGTAATGTAATTTGGAAGAAAAAAAAACCCAAACCCTTAGCAGGAAGCTCTGTAAAAAGAATTGAATTAGCCATGGGGCATTGGGAACAGGAGCGTGGTGGAACTCCTGAAACAACCTGTTGCCCCAGACATGCGTAGATGACACACTTGTATAATTTCTCCCTCCGTTGCTCAGCTGCAGCCCCTTTTGAATAACTTCAGCTTTTGTTGGAGATATGCTTTCTGTAAGCTGAACTGACACAAACTAGCCCTTTTTGAACATGTTTGATCACTGTCCTACTGTGATCTTCCTGTGCACGTTTCACTAATCTATAGTACATATGTTTTTCTTCCTCATACATACATAGGGAAAGCAGACTGCAGCCAGGCTGGCTAGAGCAATAAGGTCAGTAAGAAAATGGGAGCAAGGGAAAGCTGAATTAAGAAAGGATGTGAATACAGTCTTCTAAAATGTGTTTCTGGAGTTAGAATGTGATGCATCAGCAGTCACTTTTGGTTCTGGGGGTAAAAACGTAAAGCAGCACAACAGCTAAGTCTGTGACTTCTTTAGTATGGAGTTTAAATGTGAAATGAAAATGTATATTTAGTACCTTAAAGTTTTTGGAAAGATTCTGCTTAGTTATGTACACAACTTAGGGTAAAAATACTGACCTCTACTTGAAATGCCACTTCAAAATCAAATTACATAAGAAAAGTTAGGAATACAAAACCTGTGAATAATGGCAAAATTTCTTCAAAAAGGGTTTTCATCACTAGACCATTCTTTTTTTTTTTTTTGCAGTTTAAAATAAGAGCATGGGACATGGATTTTCTCATCTCTGGATTGCTCACCAGTTAAATAACTCTTTATAGTTTGGCCCTCATAGGGGAAAAACTTTAAATGTCAAATCCATTTTATTAGATTGCAGTTCTGTGGGAGGGACTCTGCCTCTTTATAGTCTGCAGAACCATTTAACTGTTTCAGTTTTTCTCATATGTTCTTCTTCAAAATAAGATTGACTGAAATATTTTCTAAAGGGATTTTTTTTTTTTTTTAATTCAGGGTGAAAACGGGTTTTTGGTGAATATTTATGAGTGTTCATTTTCCATTTATAAATTGTGAAGCAGAACTTTTCCAGGAAAGCTTATGTGTTTATCCTGAAAGGTGCAGTAGCTATATCAAGCTTTCCCAAATCTTCACACGTTAGTTACCAGCAATATACTATTATATGCTATATTATCAGAGATCTATCTTATGTGCATACCACTTTAAAGGACACAATTTTGAAGTTAGCCTGTCTAATCCTATTTCTTCCCACTTTGGAATCTTAATTAGAAGGAGATAAAAACCATCATTTGACTAAATTATTGTCTTGAATCTGTAGCAAAAGGTATAATCCGCAATTGGGCCAATTAGTGTACCCCATAGTTAGCTATGCTGAGGCAGGAAACTTGATTAGATCTGACACCAGCCTAGTTCCCACTGTTGTTTTGCCAGGTATGATGGTCAGACTTCAAAGGGCTTGAGGCATCAGCAGGGCAAGGTTTGGAGGCCAGCTTAGGTCCGGTCGTTAATCTCTCTGCTAAAACCACAGCAGCCCTCGCACAAAACAAGCTTACACGACACAATCATGCGGTATTAAAGTTTGGGTTGAGTCATGCCAATTTGCCTTTGATTTTCTGATGATTGACTAAAAGATGGCTACATGACTAGACACATACTGAAAGTTTACTGATTAGGTAAGTTCCCCAAATATTTGAAATATTTTTTGATTTCTCAGTTAGACGATATGACAACACGTTCGTCTTAGTGAAACTTTTTTGGCAGAATTGTTCTCCAAGTACTTTTTGCTTTCTTCGTAGCTCTCAGTGTAACTTTTATCAACATCTGATAAATTTTGTAGGAGCGTTATGTTCGTAGTTTTATCTGATAGAACTTTCTCTTTGTTGTTCTGAAGCCTCCTGTGTCAAAACTAAAGAAATCTGTGCCTAAATTTGGTGTTTTCTCTCCTCCAAATTTCTAAGGAGCCATTGTTTATCTTTCTTATTTAGGTACATTTGCAATTACTGGCAAAAAGGGCATTTTCCTTAATTATTTTCCACCTCACCATGAGTAAAGCACTGTTCCATGGCTGCGATTACATAAGTGTTCCTTTCTTTTGCAGTCTGATTTGTTCAAATATTGCAGTAACAGTGACATGTTTCCATTCTGAGAAAAGCCTAAGGCTGCTTTAGTATTATTCCAAATGATTGAAATTGCCATCTTGCTGACTTTCCCTTGGGCAGCTTAAGGCCTGTTTACTTTTGTATTTGTTTCACATGTTCCCTCTGAGTTTGGCTGGCAGGACATCATTACCTGGTTTGACAAGACAGTTGGAGAAGATTCATATTTGATTAACTCCCTTTGTTGTTGTCTGGACAACACAAACCCCTGAAATTATCTGTTTAAAGTTAAATCTCCTGATAAATTCAGATAAATGCTTGCAAAGAGGAAAGTTTGTGAGGTCGGGTTTTTTTAATTCCCGAGTTTTGCTTAATTTTTAAGCCTTCAATTAACACTGAATTGCTAATAGTGTAGAGAATAAGCTTTTTCCTACAAGTTTTTGTATTGTAGTTTGTCTAATAAATAGTCCTGAAAATATATTTTTTTTTTATCAATGCACAAGTCAGAGCCAGCTAATATTTTCTTTGTAGTGGCTATATAACATCTCTTCAACCCAGAATAAAAATCTTTAAAAGCCAGCTCAGTTTGAAACCAAGTGTCATATACGATATAAAGATTTGCCACACAGCAAAACCAAGTTCCCAGTTTAATGTATGAGTTCAAGAGTTTCTTTTCTGAGAGGTGTTTCCTAACAGGAGAAGAAAGTCAGAATTAGAGGGGTGCTGTGGCAGGAAAGTGCCTGGTTTCTCAGTGCCAGGCAGATACAATATGGTGCTATGGAGCACTCCACCAGTGCATTTTTCCCAGTGGCAATTGCCAGAGTAAAAGGTTATGGCTTTGCAAGGAAACATAATCACAAAACCCAGCAATAGGGTCTATGTAGAAGTAAAAATAAACATATGACTCCAAAGGTGTTAAAATAATATCCTGCCTTCTTTTAGCAGTAAAGGACTGTTAAGAAAATTAAGGTTTTCCAAAATAAGATATAATTGCAACTCCAGATACTCGTGTCTGTTATGTGTCCAACATTGGTATTTGAAAGAAGACTTAAGATGGTGATTTTGTCAATTAAAAACAGGAAATACATCTTAGGTAGCTTCCATCTGAAATCTCTGTATTTCTACCTTTTTTTTTTTCTTTTTTTTTTCAGTCTGTCTCTTTTCACTGCTTATTTTATACAGACTGCACTGTGGTAAAACTTATTTTGCAAAGGGGAAGTATGATTAGCCACTGCTGTAGATTATTTACCAAAACAGGTGGGTAAGACCAAGTCAGAACAGTGTCTGCAGTGCTTCAGCCTGGTGTTCACATAGGTTTGGTCCTAAGTGACTCAGGAGATGCTGATGTCACTGACTGCCAGAACTGTGAAAGATTTTGTGATTAATTATTCATTAAACACATCCAGAACAGGTATAGACATACTGGTTTAGGCTGTTTCTTCTGGGGGAACAAGTCAACCCTGTCACCAGTGCATATGGCATCAGTATATATTTAAAACACATGTATGTGCCATACCAACCTCTATATCTGTGAGAATTAGAAGCATCACTTCTTTTATCTTCTTCCAAAAAAATCTGAAGCAGTTTTCAGTAATGGCTGACCCTAATCTTGATTATATTCCACTGATGTTTCTAAAGCTGAGCAACTTCGTAAATAAACGCATTTGAATTAATGAACTATTTTTGGCCACGTGTTAACAAAAAGAATCAGTGAGCCTGAGAACTGACCAAAGGCAAAACACTGGTGTATTAGAAATTTAAGTAAAGTGATACTTCCATAGCAATCATCAGTAAAATAAGGAAATTACACTAGAGGTAATATATGCTACGTGATACATATTGTAATACTGATCTATTTACCTTAGTACATAGACAAAACCAACTCTGTATTTTAAGGCTGTGCACTGGTGCCACTGCAAGACTTGACCCTCTGTTATGGCCTTAAAACCTCGAAATGGAACCCTCTTTTCCCAAGCCAGTGGGTTGTGACTACCTGGCTGCCCAGTGCCTGGAGCAGGGATGAAAACTTCACAGGTATTCCTGGTTCAAAGGAGAGCTTTTCTGAAGCGATACAGAGAGTGTATTTCTTTAATTTTCTAATGTAATTAAGTCTTGGGAGCCTCTCATGCCCGTGCATTTGAGAACACAACTACCCTTTGGGGCTTGCATGGAAAACCTCTTTCTCCTCAGCCTGCCTTGAGCAGACAGCATCACACCTGGCAAACCCTTGAGCTGGGGGACTCGAATGCAGAGAACTCTGCATGTGAAACTAAACTTCCTAACAGAGACAGGTAAAACATTGTCATAAAACTCAGCTGAAATTTGTGCCAGTCAAACTACCGTTGCCTTGATTTTTCCTGTCCATTTTTCCCATTACCACTGGCTTGTTTAAACATAGCTCCAAAGACAAGAAGTATAATACCGTGGCATTTTATGAATCTAAATTTAATAATACTGCAAAAAAATATTCTCCTGCAAAACTAATTCTGTCATAATACCAAGCTCCATTTTGCCTTATTTCATCTAGTAGCCAGTTCAGGTTCTCTTTACCTGGTATGGTGTACTTCACTGAATTGTTTTGTCAGATGCTGTCAAGCCAACCTACCATTGTTAAAGAAAATCAAACTAAATCATTTTGGCATGAGCCTTCCAGGAATAAGGCACAGAATATGAAGGGTTTGATGAAATCAAGGATTTGATTTCAATATTGTAAAAGACTGCCTGTCAAAAATGTATTACATTCTTTCAAACAATTTTGAATAAATATACATGTTTAAAATTGTGACAGTACAATTTAGATAAAGTTTTGGGAGAATATTTTTAAATTATAATAACTTGACGTGAAACAATACTTGCAGTGCTCCTGTTTGGAAAGAAAACCACTCTGAATGCTAATGGTACATAGAACTGAAATCAAGTGATCAATTTTATACACTATATGGAAATTCAGAACACTTGTATCTTTTGAACGTTGTGGAAAAATTTAATTTGAAAATATCACCTTCTTATTGTGTAATACTGAATGATGTAAATTAAATTATTTAATTATTTGTCTGAAGACAAATGCAGGAAGATAGTGTTAACTTTTAGATTGCATATGAAAATTTGTATTGCCCTGAAATTTATTTCGTAATTAGTATTGGCTTATGGATTGTTTAACAGTATAATCTGAGAACTCCGGTTTTTCAAAACCTAAGCACTTGTAATACAGCACATCTGCAGCTTCTTGTTAGCCAACAGAAC